GAAGAAGAAGAAGAAGAAGAAGAAGAAGAAGAAGAAGAAGAAGAAGAAGAAGAAGAAGAAGAAGAAGAAGAAGAAGAAGAAGAAGAAGAAGAAAGGATAGAAAGAAAGAAAGAAAGAAAAAGAAAGAAAGAAAGAAAGACTTCAGCTTTGAGAAAGGGAGGATGAACGGATATGCCAAAGGCTGGAGGAGAATTCCAGGGAAAAAAATCCAGCTGGACTTTTCATTTTTCCTTTAAATTTAGACTCAGCTGGAAGTACAGTAAAAAAAAGAAAAAAAAAACCTCCCTTGGGGCTTCCCTCCCATGCATTTACAATCAGGGCTGGAAGGGACCCCTTGAGGTCTTCTAGTCAACCCCAGCCCACCCACCCACCCCCCCCCAGGAAGCCCCCCCGTAACCATTTCAGACAAGAGAAAATGCTCGAAGCGCCTTCCTTGGCTTCCTTTGCTTGGCTCCTTCAAAAGTGGGTTCGGGCTCCACGCAGGCAGGAAGGGTCCGGCTTCCTTCCCTCTGGGTGGGTGGGCTCCCCCACCCCCGTGGGAATCTCCCGCGCGGAGGGAGGAAGGGGGGGAGGGAGGGACGCGCAAGAGCCGGAGCTGTCCGGTCCCTGCAAACGGAGCAAGGGGGAGAGGCCGAGGCGGTGCCAGGGAAGGCGGGGAAGGAGAGCGCGGGACCCGTCCACCCACCGGCCCGCGTGGGAACGAGCCCCCCCCCCCCCCCCCCCCCCCCCGCGGCAAGGGGCGGCCCCGCTTGGCTCTCCCCGCCTCTCCGGAGCGCAGCCGGGGCAGGGCAGGACAAGGGCGGCTCCCGTCTCAGCCCCGCGTCTTTCTCTCTCTCTCTCTTTCCCCCGTCAGATCTTCCAATGGCGCCAGCTGGAGAACCTCTACTTCCGCGAGAAGAAGTTCTCCGTGGAGGTGCATGACCCACGCAGGTAAGGAAGAGGATGCGCGGCCGGACGGACGCGGGTGGGGCAAGGCGGCGGCGGCTGGGGGGACCCGGTGCCATCCGGCCTCGGACGCCCCCCGCGCCTGGCTGGGAAAAGTCTCGCCTTTCACGCGTGGGAATTCTCGAAGGGAAGAGCCGGGTCGGGGCAGCCGGGGTGGGAGAAGGGAGGCGCGGAGAAAGGAAGAGTTTCGGGGGTCGAAGAACAGCCCGGGGGGGGGGGAGTGTGGAAAAAGCCCACCCAGCCAGTCCACCTCGGGGCAGCGTGGCCCGCGGGCGCCCGGTTGCAAATGGGACCCCTTTTTTGCGGGGCCGGGGTGTGTGTGTGTGTCAAAGCCATCTCTCATCTTTTGGGGGGCTCTGGCGATTCTTTCAAGGGGGATGGTTGGGAGTTTATTCCGGGACAAAGGAGCAGGCATCCCCGGGGAAGTTCTCAGGGAAGGGAGAGGGGATTTTTTTAAGGCTCTTGGGAGAATTCCCACGCAATATTTGATGCGCGCTCGGTGAAAATTGCGGGAACCCTTCTGGCTTGCTGAAGCGATGGCCCAGGTGCATCGCAGTCCAGGTCGTGGTAACATCCTAAATGCGTTAAAAAAAAAAAAACCTGGTAATTTTCCAAAAAGTGACTTCAATCCCACCCTGCGTGGATTTTTTTTTAAAAAACAAAAATTCATTTTTAATTTCTTGCCTGCAACAGTCATGGTGATGTGGCAACATTGTTATTATAAGTCCTGTGCCCTTTATTTAATTGCTATTATTTAGCATGTGTTGTCATTAGACCATGCCCTCTTATATCTGTGCTGGATTTTATTCTTCATCAAGTGCTTAATTTTTATCCAGATAACATAAACGGCAGCTCCGCTCATGGCTGGCAAAATTAGATAATGCAATAAAAACACATATGGGATGATTATTATTATTGTTATTGTTATTGTTGTTGTTGTTGTCTCTGTTTTATGCTTTGCACTTTCTCTCAAATTGTTACTAGGTTTATCAATTTACGATCCCAATTGAGCCCCAAATTTCTGTCGTTCAACGAGACAGTTTAGTGAGTTTTTTCCCATTTTACGTCCTTCCGCTGCAATTTGTTAAGTGAATCGCTGCTGTTTGTTAAGTGAGTCGCCTAGTTGTTAAGCAAAGAATCAGATTTCCCCATTGACTTTGCTTGTCAGAAAGTCGCAAAAGGGGATCATGTGACCCCGGGGACACTGCAAGCGTCGTAAGTACGAATCACTTGCCAAGCATCCGAACATGATCATAGGGAGGATGCATTGATCATACGTCTGAAAAATGGTCATAAGTCCCTTTTTTCCCTCAGTGCCGTTGTAATTTGGAGCGGTCCCGAAATGAATGTTTGTAAATCAAAGATTGCATGGTCTCTTATTTCCTAGTTTGAGTAGCCACTTATACTACAGGTCTACTACAGGTATACTACAGGTATACTACAGATATACTACAGGTACCTTTGTGCAAACTGGTTCATAAGCATAAAATCTCCTTCTCTGAAAACCTGAGAAACTGTTGGCATCCAGAATGTTTTTCAGCCCAAAGAAAAAGTCATTATTAAGGGTCTTTTTGTGTGGCTATGCGTTCCTTACCGGTTGTCAACTTACAATGCGTTTCACAGCTGCTTGTGTGAACCGGGAGTTTCTGCATATCAGTGCCCCAGGTTTCTACAACAGGCTGGGGGTTAAAACTCTGCGGAGAAGCAATCGCGGTAGATCTGGTACACTTTTCATTTATATTCGTGTTACAACTAAACTCTCGGTCTCTCCAAAACGTTGAGTTTGGCCACAGTCCACACAGAGACATTCCTTCCTGTGTGCAATCCCAGTTGAAACAGATAAGTGCAGAGAGAGGACATGGGAGTTTTTGCAGTGACTCCCCACGATGACATAGTCAAGGGTTGGGCTCCAAACATTTTAGCTACCGGTTAATAGGCAGGAAACCCTACATCATTTCAGACAAATTTATATCATTCGTTATTTACTTCTTACAACATCCCACTGGGAATTTTGTTTGTTTTTTTTAGTTTATTGTGGCTAAGTGGCAAGTATTTCCTTCCATTTCAAGGGTATTGTTTTGGAAAAGCCAGTGATATTGACTAGCTAAGGAATTTCTGAACTTGGCAAACTTCACAGTGTTAAATATTCAAAACAAAAATGCTTCCTTTGCGGGGAAATGCAACACCTTAATTCGGCTACCACAATAATAACCAAATACTTAGAGTCTTGGAATTTTCCATGTCATTTCAATCATCCAGGGGGGAAAAACCACCATATTCTGTGTCAAGAAGACATTTAATTGTGCATGATTTTAAATTTCCACCTTGCTTCTTAATGATACCAACTTACTATCAATATAGAATGTGTTGACGTAATTAATCCGATAATTTAAAAAGAGAGAGGGAGATGAGCCAGGGTGTAATTTAGGAAATTAGGAAATCTGGATCCAGCAGGGACATAGTTCAGATTCTGGGCTTTTAGCCAAAAGGGAAGGTATTTTAAGATGAATTGCTCAATGGCTCCGAGTTGGAAGCCGAAGCAATTGCAACCATGCTGGTTTTAGGCATGGTCTGTTTTTAAAATCATCTGCAGCAAAAGTTATTTCCATATAGATGCATGAAAGTCTACTTTTTCCAGTGCTGTAGTAACTTTGATCGGTCGTGAAAGGACCTGTTTGTACGATCGAGGTCTCCCCGTAATGGCAAGCAAAATGTTGCCCTACAGCAAGACTCCCCATGGGCCAGCAGCCCACTACCGGCCGTGGCTTATTTGCAACTGGGCCGCGTGACTGGCGGGACAGAGCACACACCCGTGTTGTTGCACGCACAGCCTCACTGGAGTGACAGGTGGGCGCTCACACAGCTCACGCGAGTGGCACGCCCGCCCCTCACACAAAACCCATCCCGCTCCCCGTACGGGGCCACCAACACGGAAATTTGGAGAACGCTGTCCTGTAATAAGAAAAACTCGTAGTGTCAACTCATAAAATGTTTTCTGTGGTCTTTTGAGAGTTGCCGACGGAAAGAGAGGAGGGAAAGGGGTTCGAAAGAGCAGTGCAGCAGCTTGCAAAATTGAAAGTGCATTCCACAAATGTTTTCAAAGATAGGAACCAGGTGACTGAAGTTTCTGCCGTGCAAAATTCTAACTGGAGAGCCTGATTGATGACTCTGGGCTAGGGAGGTGTCCCATTGGAGAATATGAACTAGGATACTCCCAGGGGATGGAGGGAAACCAGGGTCAAGGGTGACAAGGAATGATGTGTCTCAGAGTTGGCTCCACCCAGGCAGTGCCGGACATGTTAACTCCCAATAAATCCTTTTGAGGTTTTCGAAGCTTGGCTCAAGAGGCAGGATTTAAACGGGAGCAGTTTCCAGTATCCTGACACATAGGTCTCTTTCTCCATTGACGCTGCTCTTCTCCTGTCCTTCTAGGGCATCGGTGACCAGGAGAACTTTCGGACACAGTGGAATTGCTGTGCACACTTGGTACGCCTGCCCTGCCTTGATCAAGTCCATCTGGGCTATGGCCATCAGTCAACACCAGTTTTACCTGGACAGGAAGCAGAGCAAGGTAAGGACCGTAAGCGGCCGAGGGAAGAGAACGGCTCAATGTAGACCTTCTTGTGTAGACCTTCTTCCAACCAGACGTCCTTAGGAGGAAATGGAATAAGGAGAAATGAAGGGATGTAGGAGCTTGATGGCACCTCTTTGGAGGAATACATTTCATTAAAAGGCATTAATTCATGCTTTTCCCTTCTCATAGAAGTTTTAATCTAAAAAAGTGTGATTACATTCCTTCTGGGTTTTGGATACTATGGTATAACATGGATGTTCTGATGATGATGTCCATTTAGTTGTGTCCAACTTTTGGTGATTCTGTGGGTCAGGGGTCTCTACGCCTTCTGATCTTGCACTGCTTCTTTGAGTTGTTCTTTGGTGGTGGTGGTGGTGGTAGTGGTAATGATGATGATGAGGAGGAGGTGGTGGTTATTCATTCAATCATGTTCAACTCTCAGTGATTCTATGGGCCAGGTCTCTCCACCTCTTCCAATCTTTCTGTCAGCATTCCAACTAACCAACCCCAAACCAATAAACTCCAAGACGAGCATTTCCTAAAAGAGAAATCAAAGATCCATCCCCTGCACCCTTCAGTCCATCACATGGCCCAACCAAATCCTCGTCCCAACTGGAGGCATCTCCCCCCAGTCACTCCCTTCCAGGTGCAGGGCAACATGTCCTTGACTCTCTGAGAAAAGAACGTTGTTGAGTCTCGTCTTCCACCCCACTGTGATATCCCTCCCCCCAAATCCCCAGGCAGTGAAGGTGGCCGCCTCAAAGGTTCCAAGTAAAAACTGGCTTCCAAGGCCGGCACTTGCACTCTTCCTTTGAGTTGTTCTGTGCTCTGGCTGGTGTCGGTTTTGATGGTGTCCGGTCACTGTGGTCTTTGCCCACCTGGTTTCCTTTGACCGTTCACTCTTCCCAACATAACTGCTTTCTCCAGCCAATTCCCTTGCGTGACGTGGCCAGAGTGAGACTCAGTGTTGTGGTTTTGATGGTCCTTCTACGAAACCTTTTTGTGTAACTCATGAGTCATCGGGAAAGGGATGGACTTCCGGATAGGGTTGAAATGTATTCTCCGCAACTCTTGAGTCTTTTGATTCGTAGCCTAGGGCCGGCAGGGTCTGTGAGAAGGAGAAACGCGTAAGGACCCATGCAGGGGTGGGATTCAAAAATCCCAGCAACCAGTTTGCCGCCTGGTTGCGGGTTGGGCGTGGCCATGGTGGGCGTGGCCTACCGGAACTTCTGGGAGGGCTGTTTTGTGCTTTCCCCAGAGTCCAGAGGCTTCCCTTGGGCCTCTGGGAAGGTGAAAACAGCCTCCCCAGGCCTGTTTCTGGACTTCCTGAAGGCCCATTTTCCCCCCTCCTAGAGCCTCCGTGCAGACCCTGCGCTTACCTCAATCAAAAGTGGGCTGCGTGGAGACTCCGGGGAGGGGAGGGGAAGGTTGGGCAGGGCCAGGATTCAAATACCGGTTCAGTGAACCAGATGAAAACTTAACATCCGGTTCACCCGAACTGGTCCGAACTGGCTGAATCCCACCCCTGGGCCCGTGGTTTGCAGAAGGTGGTGATCTGTTCAGTTTACGAATTGGATCATCGTAGTCCAATGGACCTTTCCAGGCCATGAATTGGATCAAATTGTCTAATCTGCTGTTTTTTAAGTCAATGTGGGCACTAGAAATCACATTTCTTGGTATCGCAGGAGTCCAGTGGTCAATAGCACTCATTCTTCCAATGAGGAAAAAGGACCACTTCCATAAAAAATAAGCTAAAATCATCCGTAGGTTCCAGAAATCACGGTTTATGGGCAAATTGCATGGTGTAAGGCAGCTTCAGGATGAAGATTCTGGCTTTTCATTCAGGTAGAATTTCCTATGACATTGGATAACAGGGAATTCTGCCTTAAAGTCAGATAGCAGGTGAAGGAAACAATCCATTCGTAAGAAATTTTATCTGGACTTTGCATTCAGATTAATTGAATCAACTTAATGCTTCTGCAAAAACATTTTTTCCTTCTCTTTCATGCACGGATTTCTCTCTTTTAAATCATCTTCAGATAAGACAGGCGGCTCAGCTCATGTTAACCAGAAAGGCACTTTAGGATTCTCTCGTTCCAAGCCACAAACCTGCAGACCATCCATCTATGGTTTGTTTTCGGGTTGTCCAATCACTCAAAAGGAATGAAACTTTTGAGAAACGAGGTTGGGACAAATCCCAGGCTCCTATTCTGCCTTATTCTGACTGGAAGGCCATTGGTTCAACCATGCCGCGCTTCTTTAGGACAAACCAAAAACAGTTTGCCATCGCCGAGCGTAAAAAGCAACCTTCAAGCAATTTATCTTGATGGGGTCGCAAATCATGGTTAGGCCTCAGAGCGACTCCTCTTCCTTCCTAGTAGGAATTCTGAATATTATAGCATTCTATTACGGTGTCCCAGAGGTGCCTTTTCAAAAGGCAGCTGGACTTTCTGTGTTTTTTTTCCTCGAAGAGGTTTCGCTTCTCATCCAAGAAGCTTCTTCAGTTCGGGGTGAATGGTGGAGGATGGAAGAACTGAAGAAGCTTCTTGGATGAGAAGTGAAATGTCTTCGAGGAAAAAAACACAGAAAGTCTAGTTGCCTCTTGGGGGGAAAAAAATCACCTTTGGGACAACCATGACTTGGAGGAGGGAGAGTCTCCATTGACAGTTAGTATTATGAAGTCTTCATGTTTCTTCTTTGCTCTAAGCAAAGATTTAAAAAGAACTTTAATCTCTCTTCAGGAGTTCATACCCTCATGGGAAACGTAAGCAGGCACGGCCTCTGAATCTTGTAAATTGTTTGGCTAATCCTGTTTATGTCAGGATCTCCCTACTTAAGAGTCTTCTAAACAATAAGAGTGTTAACCTTCGGGGTGAACCTGATTTTCTCGCCTGATGAGGCATCTTGTTTAATTTTATGGGGCTCCGGGCTGAGATCCCCCACTTCCTTCCCTGCCGTGCAGTTCCTGCAAATGTTGCGTTTTGATGGATCTTCTTGGCACCGCTGGGAGTTTAGAAGCTTCTTGAGTTGTTGTTGTTTTTTTAAAGAAATGCAGCCAAATGAATTTAGCAAGGTGGCCTGTGTGTGTGTCTGTGTCTCCAAAATTATTTAGAAAAATGTCGTTTGGACATTACGAAATGCTGTACCTCGGCTTATGGGCGGGCTGAAAAACGTTCGGTGTATTTACAAAATAACAGAGTTGGAAGGGGCCTTGGAGATCTTCCAACCCCCTGCTCAAGCAGGAAACCATATTTCCCCCCCCCAAAAAAAAAATGACGGTGCAAGTGTGTCAGGGTTCCGACGGATGCCCTAATTCCGTGATGGCGAACCTATAGCATGGGTGCCACAGGTGGCACGCAGAGCCATTTGTGCGTGCATGCGAGCCCCAGCCAAACTTACCTACACTGTGCATGTGCGCGCCTCCCAGGTGAGTTTCAACCCATTTGAGGCCGTTTTCGCTCTCCCGGAGGGTCGAAGGAAGCCTCTGCAGCCTCGGGAGGCCGAAAAACGAGCCTTCTGGAAATACCAGAAGTGTTGAAACGTGCCCATTTTTCGGCCTCCCGAGGCTGCAGAGGCTTCCTTTGAGACTCCAGGAGGGCGAAAATAGCCTCAAACGGGCTGAAAATCAGCTGGGAGGCTCGCGCACGTGCAGTGCAGGTAAGGACTGGGTGGGGATGTTGCACACACATGTGCGGGGGGGTGCATTGCATGTGCGCATGCTTTTGGCACCCCACAACAAAAAGGTTCGCCATCGCTGCCCTAATTAATTCATGAGCCTCGAGCCAAGTTTCAAAAGAAATCCAGTTATTTATTAGGAGCAAGACGTTGACATTTTTCCCATGGCTAAAGCTCGTTTATGGAAACAGTGCTTTAAATTTACAATCAAGTCGTGATAACCTACAGTCTCTTCCTCAAACATCTGAAATTCCAGTGTTTGAATATTTGTTTAGCCCAAGCGAAATAAACCCCTGATAGCACCACCAATATTTTTTTTCCAGTAGTAATTAAGAGTAATGAGGTCTTTTACAAAGAACCTAAGTAATTATCGTAAATAAAGTATTATTTATACCAGGCGAATTCAGACTCAAGAGGCTTATTACAATCAATTATGAATATCTTGAACTGGCTGGTTATATTGATTTATTACTCACACCCTGAACTTGTTGAGTTTAATTTAGAATATGAAGTTAAAAGGTCACCGATATTTAATAAAGCAGTTTTAATGTTGCCAATTATATATTCAAAAATCATCGATATTTGTTCATTTTGTAGTAAATGAATATATAGTATTTTTTTTTCCCTGCCTTTGGCTTTCAGAAGTTCATTTTCAAACTCCAATTTTTTAGGAAATAAAGGTGTTCTTAAAGCTAACTCGGAAATACAGTATGATTTTATATCAGGATTGCCTGTTATAAACTTTGTTCTTATTGGAGACGAAACTTTCAAGTATGAGGCATAGCATGATGAGGACTAGAAATCCTTTGTAGGATTTTAAAATAAAGCTGGCTGGAAGCTCATTTTTTAATGAAATCCTTCAGAACCCGGGTTTGGCAGAGTTGCTTGGGAAAGAGTTGCTTTAAATATTTAAAAAACATTTTTGGCGGGGGGGAATGAGAGAAGCCTGGAACAGGCACAGACCATGAGATTTATAGGCGACCCAATATTGAAGGAAGCCATTTCGCCCTGAAAAATAATTGAAATCCTTTATTGGAGGTTTCAAAAGGTTCCCCTAAACCCCCAGTGACTCCATCATCCAGCTCATAATGAATCAATCCACGTGGGAAGGAAATTCCTTTCCTTTTGAGTGACGGTTTTCATCAAAGGAAGTGTTTATAATTGAGAGACCTAGAATTTGGGTATTTGTTTAGCCCAAGCAAAATTAAACCTCTCTATTTTATTTTATTTTTGCATCAGGAGTTGAAATCTTTTACTCACTGTAACAAACAACCTAAGTATCAAAATTATCAAAATCAATAATAATAATAATAATAATAATAATAATAATAATAATAATAATAATAATATCAACATCTTAATTATTTAGGGCTGATTTAAGTGATGGTTCAAAAATCAACGGGGGTTAGAAACAAGTCCTGAATTCAGTTGCCTTTGGATTCCGGGATCAGGTATCGTCCATGACGGAGTGATCTCTTAATCGTGTGATTAAAAATGTTGGATGCTGCAGTGGCCTTAAGATGTTAATGTTAATGTTGTAATGGCTACTAAGCCACTGGTTGTAAGTTGTCTGCTATGTGTAGTGCCTAAACACCATTTCTGACCGAGGGTGTCTAAGAAGCACATTGGCATATTTGGAAAACGCAGTGGTCATTGTTCAGTTGTTGGCTTAAATTCTTGGCCTGCTTTTGAACCTCCTTCCTTCCTTCCTTCCTTCCTTCCTTCCTTCCTTCCTTCCTTCCTTCCTTCCTTCCACCCTCCTTTCTTTCTTTCTTTCTTTTATATATAAAATTTATTGGCCACCCATCTTTCTCTTTCTTTCCTTCTTTCTTTTCTTCCTTCCTTCCTCCCTTCCTTCCTTTTTATATATAAAATTTATTAGCCATCCATATCTCTCTTTTTCTTTCTCTCTCTCTCTTTCTCTCTCTCTTCCTTTTTTCCTCCCTCTCTCTGTCTCTCTCTGTCTTTCTTTCATATATAAAATGTAATTGGCAACCCACCTTTCTCTCTTTTTTCTTCCTCCCTCCTTTCTTTTATATATAAAATTTATTGGCCACCTATCTTTCTCTTTCTTTCCTTCTTTCTTTTCTTCTTCCCTCCCTCCCTTCCTCCCTCCCTGCCTGCCCTTTATATATAAAATTTATTAGCCACGATCTCTCTCTTTTCTCTCTCTCTCTCTCTTTCATTCATTCATTCATTCATTCATTCATTCATATATAAAATGTATTGGCCACGCATCTTTCTCTGTCTTCTTCCTTCCTTCCATCTTTCCTTCCTTCCTTCTTTTCTTTCTTTCTTCTATTCATTTATCTATTCTATACAATTTATTGACCACCCACCTTTCTGTCTTTTCTTCTTTCTTTCTTTCTTTCTTTCTTTCTTTCTTTCTTTCTTTCTTTCTTTCTTTCTTTCTTTCTTTCTTTCTTATTATTCATTCTCAGAACGCTTTTCCTTTGTTGTTTCAACCCAAGTCAAAGGCCTTCCCTTCTGGAGGTGGAGTCCACACGTGGCAGGGAACCTCTCTCCTCTTAGCCCAGGGGATTCCTTGTCAGGGGAAGATAAATGGCGAAAGCAGGAAGCAACTTATGTTTTGGTAACGGAGGCAGCCCTTATTTTATTTTTTGAATGACAGGAGTGAATTGATTCTCTGAAGTGTGACCCTCCGGATCCATTATCCAAGCCGGGGAGAAAGCCCCCCTTTTATGCTGGGCTCCTATCCCATTTCCCGTTCCACCACGAAGAGCGAAACAATTAACAATGGCACAGCGAAGTCAACCCTGCAGGACACCCAGAGCTGTAGGGAGAATAAGAAAGACCTGTTTTACTTCTGTCATTTTTAAAAAATCTGCTTCAGCAATGAATCTGCAGAAAATTTTAGCGCTGTGCCTCTGTGGACGAAAGTTCAACGAACAGGAAACAAAATATTCCCAAAAGTTGCACAGTCCTGCGTTGCGGATTCAGTGTTCAACTCTTTGGAAGGAAGCCACATTATAGAATTTACTCCTAAGTAAATATAGAGGTGTTTATTGTTAATTTTTTCCAGTGCCATCCTATCAAATCACCCTTCTAAGATTATTAACCCAGGAACATCTTTGCAACAAGTGTGACATATGTCCCAATTCCTTTCTTCGGGTCATTTTAATCTTTCACCTTTTGTAGATCCAAAAGTTTTCACTTATTCCAGGATTATTATTGTTATTGTTACTATTTGAGGAGGGGGTTTCCCCTGCTGGAAATTTCATAATTTAACTCAAAATGTCTGGATGCCAGTTTATAGCTATCACAGTTAAGGTTAATATTCTTTACAGCTTTATTTAGTTCTGAGGGCTGATCTGAAGAGGATGTTTGCTTTGTACAGGTGACTTTGTTGTTGTTGTTAGTTGCGAAGTCCTGTCTGACCCATTGCAACCCCATGGACAACGTTCCTCCAGGCCTTCCTGTCCTCCACCACCATTTGGAGTCCAGTGAAGCTCACGCTGACAGCTTCAGGGACTCCATCCAGCCACCTCCTTCTCTGTCATCACCTCCTTCTTCTTCTTTGGCCCTCCATCATTCCCAGAATGAGGCTCTTCTCCAGGGAGTCCTCCTTCCTTCTCATGAGGTGGCCCAAAGCCTTTGAGTTTCAACTTCGGCCTTCTAAAGAGCAGTCAGGGTTGATCTCCTCTAGGACTGACCGTTTGGATGGCCTTGCAGTCCAAGGGACTCGCAGGAGTCCCCTCCTCCAGCACCCGAGTTCCAAGGCCTCCATTCTTTGGCGCTCAGCCTTCCAACTTTCACAGCCCTACATTGCAACTGGAAAAACCAGAGCCTTGACTTTTGTTGGCAGGGAGATGTCTCTGCTTTTGAGTAGGCTGTCTAGATTTGATATAGGATTTACTTCTAAGTAAATATAGTGGAGATGTTTATCGTTAATTTTTTTTTCCAGTGCCATCCTGGAAAAAAAAACAACCCAGACATGAACGACAGGAGTGTTAATTTAACGATTATCTCTGTGAAAGAGCTGATAGTTGCAAACTCCTTTACTGAATTTGGATACTGTCATTATACAGACTGTAGAAGTTTAAAGGTAACCCATGTGAAATGTATCAGAGTTACTGTGATTTATTAAACAAATGCATCTTTAGGAGGAAAAAAAAAACTTCTAGCGTTAATAATCAACGATAGGTTCTGTCAAGTACACCAACATTTAGAAGCACGGTTTAAGAAATAACAGTAGCTTTGTTTCTGATGTCTTAGGCCAGCGTATTTCAAACGTGACCCCTTTAAGATGTGTGGACTTCAACTCCCAGAGCTGAAAAATTGATTCTGGGCCTTGATATCCATACCTCCTAAAGTTGCCAAGTTGGAAAAAAAACCACTGTCTTAGACCATGACTCATTCATTTTGTGTATTGGATGTAACTTGTGAAACTTCCTGGGAGTTGGGCATGAGTGGAGATCAATTAGGTCACTGCCAAACTTAAGACATTCAGGTGATTTTGGAAGTGGTAATCCTTGGATGATCTTGGCCTGATGATCTTGTTAAGGAGCTATCAACACCGTCACCATGACTTAATCACCTGAAGTCTTTCAACATCTAATGTATTTAGCACCAGGGTAGTTCAGAAGAACCCCCCCCCCTAGTTATTTGGGGGAGGAGTGTGAGGTTCTGGAACAAATTTCCATGCATCTATCTATCTATCTATCTATCTATCTATCTATCTATCTATCTAAAAGCAAAAGACCGCTCACGCATCATCACAAAATCTCCAGAGCCGTAAAGCCTACAAACTTGAAATTTGGCCCATAGGTTCCTCCTGGCTTCTAGGGGCTCCCTAAGAAAGGATTTTTCAAAATGACCATCAGAGCATCAGTATTTCCTATATTATTAATATTATTATTATTATTATTATTATTATTATTATTATTATTATTATTATTATTATTA